AAAAAAAAAAAAAAAAAAAAAAAAAAAAAAAAAAAAAAAAGAACACAACATGAAATCTAATCTCTCAACATGTTTTTAAGTGTACAATCTCTTATTGTTAACAATGGGCACTATATTGCAGAGCGGATCTCTGGAACTTATTCATCTTGTGTAACTAAATTTTCTAATACGTGGAATTAAAACATGTTAACACGCTGCCATATTTGTCTTATTTTTATCTTACAACAATAAAAGATGTTCAGGGTAACGGGAGGGCTTCCTTATCCCATTCTGCTTCCTTTCTCCTGAGAAGTAAAAAACGTTATGGCTTTAATAACCATCTATATGTTCATGACTTCTGAGTTTATCCCTTCAGCATGAATTATCCAACATACTCATCTTGTTTATTGTCTATTTTCATTTTCAGAGTATAGAATGTTGTCCATTTTGTGCACTGTTGTATCTACAGTGTCTGAATAGTGCTTAGCACATATATAGCAGGTGTTCAATAAATGTGTTAAATGAATGAGTGAATCTACGTGTTTAAAGTTTACTATATGTATGTATCCTTAAACAATGTTTCTTAAAAATGTACGCAAATGAGCTCTCACATTTTCCTGGGTTTAACCTCCAGGAGGCCCACCAAATTCTTAGAGTGGAAAGCCAAGAAAAATCCCCTCCTGTGATTTTTTCACAGGAGAAAAATCTCCCCCTAGGCAGCCAGGGGGCGAGGGGAGAGGAAAAATAACCATTTTGAAATATGCCCAGAGCATTCTCCATAACAAAGGCCTACTCTTCAAGAGAAAGAGTATTTCAGATCTTATCTTACTTAGGGGGAAGGGAAGTTACCCACTTTCAGCCCATTTTATCACTTCTATCTGACCTAAGGGAGGGGTGCAGGGCAGGGAGGAGGAGCTAAGAAACACTTTTGAAGGACACAGGCCCACTAAAAAGATTGAGATGTAATCATAAGATCATAGAAAAATTCCTCTCCTGCACTCTTCACCACCACACCAACAGGGCTCCAGCATAGTAACTGGATTACAGCTGAGAAGCTGCAAGGCACAGACTCTATATAAGAAGGAGCTCCAGAAGAACCTAAAGGAAGGAGGGGAGTAAAACAAAGACATAAGAGGAATTTATAGCCTCTGACACCTACAGCTACATCATGCTGCCATATTTGTCTTATTTTTATCTTACAACAATAAAAGATGTTCAGGGTAATGGGAGGGCTTCCTTATCCCATTCTGCTTCCTTTCTCCTGAGAAGTAAAAAACGTTATGGCTTTAATAACCATCTATATGTTCATGACTTCTGAGTTTATCCCTTCAGCATGAATTATCCAACATACTCATCTTGTTTATTGTCTATTTTCATTTTCAGAGTATAGAATGTTGTCCATTTTGTGCACCGTTGTATCTACAGTGTCTGGAATAGTGCTTAGCACATATATAGCAGGTGTTCAATAAATGTGTTAAATGAATGAGTGAATCTACGTGTTTAAAGTTTACTATATGTATGTATCCTTAAACAATGTTTCTTAAAAATGTACGCAAATGAGCTCTCACATTTTCCTGGGTTTAACCTCCAGGAGGCCCACCAAATTCTTAGAGTGGAAAGCCAAGAAAAATCCCCTCCTGTGATTTTTTCACAGGAGAAAAATCTCCCCCTAGGCAGCCAGGGGGCGAGGGGAGAGGAAAAATAACCATTTTGAAATATGCCCAGAGCATTCTCCATAACAAAGGCCTACTCTTCAAGAGAAAGAGTATTTCAGATCTTATCTTACTTAGGGGGAAGGGAAGTTACCCACTTTCAGCCCATTTTATCACTTCTATCTGACCTAAGGGAGGGGTGCAGGGCAGGGAGGAGGAGCTAAGAAACACTTTTGAAGGACACAGGCCCACTAAAAAGATTGAGATGTAATCATAAGATCATAGAAAAATTCCTCTCCTGCACTCTTCACCACCACACCAACAGGGCTCCAGCATAGTAACTGGATTACAGCTGAGAAGCTGCAAGGCACAGACTCTATATAAGAAGGAGCTCCAGAAGAACCTAAAGGAAGGGAGGGGAGTAAAACAAAGACATAAGAGGAATTTATAGCCTCTGACACCTACAGCTACATCAAACATTAAACACAGCCCAACTCCTAGCAAGACTGACAGAAAACCCACACTAAAAGCCTATTTACCTCAGTAAATTACCTAATACAACATGGTTGAATTTCAACAAATATTACAAGCCATGCTAAAAGGCAAGGGAAAACACAGTAGGTAGAAACAAAGCAAGTATAGTCTCAGATATGACACAGATTTTGAAATTACCCCAGGGGGAATTTAAAATTAATAAGTTAATAGCTCTAATAGAAGAAGACAATATGCAAGAACAGATAAATAACATAAACAGAGAGAAGGAACTCGAAGAAAGAATAAAAAAGAAATTCTAGAAATCAAAAACACTGTAACATAAATGAAGAATGCCTTTGATAGACTCATCAGTAGACCGAATACAGCCAAGGAAAGAATCAGTGAGTTTGAAGATATGTCAGTTGAAACTTCCCAAGCTGAAATGCAAAGAGAGAAAAGAATGGGGAAAAAGACAAAAAAGAACAGAATACCCCAAAATTGTGGCACAGTTTCAAAAGGTATAATACACATGTAATTGGAATATCAAAAAGAAGAAAGAAAATGGAGCAGAACATGGATGAGTTGTAAATGCATATTGCAAACCTAAGGAAAATAATAAAAATATTTTTAAATAAAAATAACTGATATTCTAAGAAAGGAAAGAAAATGAAATAATATAAAAATGCTCAATGAAAACCAGAGAAGGCAAAAAATGAAGTGGGAAAAGAAACAAAGAACAAGTGCAATGAACAGAAAATATGGTAGCTATTCATCAAACTATATTAATAATCACATTAAATGTGTAAATTGTCAGAGTGGACTAAAAAACTAGACCCAACTATATGTTGTCCACAAGAAACCCAATTTAAATATAAAGCACAGTTAGGTTAAAAGTAAAAAGGTGGGGCCGGCCCGGTGGCGCACTGGATAGTGCGCCGCTTGGGAAGCGCGGTGGCGCTCCCGTCCAAGGGTTCGGATCCCACATACAGACCGGCTCCCGCTCACTGGCTGAGCAAGGCACGGGAGCAACACCGAGGCTTGCAATCCCATTGCCGGTCCCCGGTCCGGTATGGGGGCAACACTGAGGGTTGCGATTCGTTGCTGGACACGGAAAAAAGACAAAAAGACAAAAAAAAAAAAAAAAGTAAAAAGGTGGAGAAAGATATACCATGCTAACACCAGTCAAAAGAAAGCTGGAGAAGCTATAATAATTTTACACAAAGCAGAATTAAGAGCAAGGAAAACTATCAGGGATAAGGAGGGGCATTATATAAAGGGGTCAGTTCTCCAAGAAGACTTACTAATCCTCAACATGTATGCACCAAACAATAGAGCATCAAAATATTTGAGGTAAAACCTGATAGAACTACCAGGAGAAACAGGTGAATCCACTATTAGAGCTGGAGACTTCAACACTTCTCTTTCAGTAATTGATACATCAAGCAGGCAAAAAAGTCAATATGGATATAGTTGCCCTTAACAGCACTATAAATCAGCTTTATCTAATTGACAGCTAAAGAATACTATAACCAACAATAGTAGAATACATATTGTTCTCAAGCTGACATGGAACATTCACTGAGATATATCGCATTCTGGGCCATAAAATGTAACAAATTGTTTAACATTATATATATCCTTTTGTTTAATAACAAGTTTACTGAGATATAATTCACATATCATAAAATTCACCATCTTAAAGTGTACAGTGGTTTTAGTGTATTTACAGAGTTGTACGACTATCACCACTATGCAATTTTAGAATGCTTTTGTTACCCCCAAAAGAAACACAGTACCCATTAGCAGTCATTCCCAATTTTTCCCTCCCTGTAGCACCTGGAAACCACAAATCTACTTTCTGTCTTGATGGATTTGCCTATTCTGGATATTTCATAGAAATGAAATCATATAACATATAGGTTTTTGTGTCTTGCTTCTTTCACTTAGTGTGACATTTTCAAGGTTTGTCCATATTACAGCATGTATCAATATTTCAATGCTTTTTATAGCGGAATAATATTCCATCATATGAATATACCACATTTTATTTATCTATTCATCAGTTGTTGTACACTTGAGATGTTTCCACTTTTTGGTCATTATGAATAATGCTGTTATAAACATTCATGTACAAATTTCTTTGTGGATGTATGTTTTCAGTTCTCTTGGGTATATAACTAGGAGTGAAAATTGCCAAGTAATATGGTAACTCTATGCTTAAAATTTTGAGGAACTGCCAGACTGTTTTTCCGAGCAGCTGCAACATTTTACATTCCCACCAGCAATGTATGAGGTTTCCAATTGCTCCACATTATCACCAACACTTGTTACTACCTTACTGTAACCATCCTAGTGAGTGTAAGAGGTATCTCATTGTCGTTTTGATTTGCATTTCTCTAATGACTTGGACACAACTATCATTTTAAATTGCCACCCTGACTTCACAGAGTGTTCTGAGTGATGGAGCCTAAAAATTAGTTGCTAAGGCTCCAATCACCTTTGGAGAATTAGCTCTTTTTAAAAACCTTTGTTTCAAGAAGCAGGACTTTTTCCAACTACAATGATCATCATGTTCTAACTACCAAGGAAAATAAGAATATTTTCCTGTGTCTTCTTATAAAAGTATATTTCTAAGAGGATACCAAGGTCAGGTGTGAGGAGCATCCTGTCCCCTAGGAATACATAGGCAGGTCTGCTTACCTGCTGGTGGCCAGGCCTTGATGTACCCTGTGCAGTGGACCACAGCATATTGGGCTTCTCCTTCCTTCACAGGGCCAAGGCCATTCCTAAAGAAAGAACATTTGTGAAATTGTTTTCATCACATGGGGGTGAGGCAAGGGTGTTGATGACTCCTTTGGCATCTGAGCTGCTGGGTTATCTTGTTTGCCTCTGTGGTTTTGAATCCCGACTTCCCGCCATCCTGTTTTCCCTCTTCCCACACAGTCTGAAAGTCCAAAATAGATTCCACCCAACTCCCCGTTCTCATCTCAGCCACTGCCAGCCAGATTTGCTGGTCTCTCGGCCCTCTGTACAGTTAGCCCCCTCTTCACGCCGGGCTACTTCTTAGCTTAGGTTATCTAAGCTCTCTGAGAGCACAGTCCCCAGATATACACCAGAAAGGGATACTGACCTGAACCTTTTCCTCATGGTGGTTATTCTGTTTAGAGGAAGGTGGTCCAAAGGAGCATTTCCACACCTAAGATTTGACCAATGTATTAGAACGAGTGAAGACCCAGGCAAGATAACAAAACACAAAGTGCTACAGTCAAGCAGATTTGCCTTAACTGATGCTACACGATTGTTCAGGTGAGACCTATAGCCAATTTCCTTCCAAAGTACAGAAGCAGGCTTGCACGCCTTTGAGTTTTGACTGCCACCAAAGGAAGGAGAGTGTGACTGACTTTGCAATACACACCAAAATTGTTTCAGGACCCAGCCCAGAAGCTGGAGACTCTCAGAGAAACCTGGCCATGCTCAGTCCTGCAGATCATTTCAGTGGAACCGGGTGGCTTTCAGGAAGCAAGGCGAGAGGGTGATGACAGCATAATGTCTCTTTAGGCCTGAGCAGAGACATCAACTCAACACAGATGTTGCCAGTTGATGAACAGTAGCATCGTCTCAGGCATTAGCATCACAGCTGTAGAAACTCTCCTTCCTTCCCTGCAATGTTCTGGCACTAGAAATAGCTAGTCAGCTGGAAGTATGCTGACGGTGGAGGTCAGAGGAAAGACGAGGAACAAACAGATATAGAACCAGGGCTTGTGTGGGTCCTTCTCTGGGAGGCGGGAGATGGAGGCATCATGCTGCCCACTCTATAGGACCTTTCCTGCCTCTCTTCTCAGTGACCCTCTCAGCACCCCAGGCATGCCACACCCAAAGCCTGCATTGTGACCAGCCTTCGACTGCTGCTTGGTATGCCCACTTGTTACAAGCATTTCCATTTCCCAACTACATGACAAGTAACATTGAGATGTCTTAATCTTCAATAAAGGAAAGATAAGCGTCCATTTATACCCTGAGAACTTGGACAGCTGCCAGCACCAGCCTGGTTTTCAAGGCAGGATCAATCCAGGACATCGTCACCCAGGAATGCTGGCATGGCCCTCTGCCCTTTTCTGGAAGACTGTGCCCAGTGTCCTGCTGAAATTAATCTGCCTTATTTGGCAGCTCTCAGCTGATGACAATGCTCCCCACTTCTCAGTAAATCCAGACAGTGTGGGCTTGGCACTTCAAAAAGCACATCCCCTAGAGGGGCACTGGGGCAGGGAGGGGGCTGCCTGAATTTGGTTGATAGGGCAGTTATAATAGCATTATATGCTACTAAGAGAAATGATATACTATGACGCCGCCAATCAACTTAATAAGGGAATTCTTAGATTAAGAATTGATATTGCTGGTGCTGTACTGAATGCCTGCCAAGCTAGCATGGGTGTTTATTCACCAAAGCACTTCTGGGCAGACCCTACTGTGACTGACTGCACTAGCTGATGGCATTTTACCCCTGGGTGGACACTGATGCTTGTGAATCGTGCCGCCCAGCTTGCCCCTGTCGGATGAATGGGGGGCAGGCAGGCTGCAGAGACTCATAAGTCAGATGGAGACGTTTGTGTATTCTGCCACTCCAACGCCAACTTGTGACCTGAGGCAGGTGGTGAAGGGGATTTCATCTGTGACTTCTGGAAGAATTCCAGATGCCCAGCCTGGAGTGGAGCAGACTCAGAGGAAGGGACAGCTTTACTCAAATCCCTGAAGGGCCATTTCTTGTAAAAGGGAGCACAATGCCTCTGCCAGCTCCGAGGGCCCAGCTAGGGGGTCAGAGTGGCAAGTCTCCCCCAACACAGGCACCTCAGTTATCTGAGGTGGATTAACCAGTCTGAAGATGAACAGATCTTGTTTTAAAAATGTAGTTGCTTTAAAAGATTACTTTGAATAAGGGAAAATATATGCTTATTTTAAATCATCTATTGTTTGGAACTTCATGGTACCCAACAGATGCTCAAGTGGTGAGTTATGGCTCCAGTAGCGAACAAAGAAGTAGAAGTGACATTGGTGAGTGGCTCTGCTGTGTCGGGCCTGAGACTGGAGCATCACCAGTACCAGACAGCTGGGCCGGGGGGTGGGAGGGGGGTGGCAGTGGTCAGACAGTACAGGAGATGCTGGGGCTCAATCAGGATTGGTGCAGAAGCACGTGGACTTGTCAGGAGAGGTGCTTGAGGATAGCCTGGGAGATCGCATGTCTGGGATGGCAGGGATTGGCTCCTCTTCTGCAGCAGGTGGCTGAGGTTTGTCCTGCTTACCCTCCTGCAGCTCCAGCTCCTGCTAGTTCTCCCTCTGAGCTCCAGTGATTGATCCTCAGCCCTCACATTCAGGACTCATCAGTAGCATTTAGCAGTTGATCACTCCTTCCTTCTAGAAACTTCCTTTGCCCTCTCTCGTTCCCCTCCCACTTGCCTAGCTGCTCCTTCTTAGTCTCCTTTGCTGGTTTTCCCTTACCTCTCTGATGTATGAGAGCCCCAGGGCTCAGGCCTCTGATGTCTTCTCTGTCTATATTCACTTCTCATGTGTATCTTAGTCTCAAGGCTTTAAATACCATTTCACTGATGTCAATACCCAAGTCCTTATCTTTAGCCCAGACCTCTCCCTTAGAATCCAGAATCACATGCCCAACTATCTACTGATCTTCTCCATTTAGCTATCTGATGGGCATCTCAACCTTAAAATTCTTGAAATTCCCCTCTACTATCCCAAACTAGCTTCCCCAACAACCGTTCCAATCTTCCCATCGTAGCAAATGTCAACTCCATTTTTTTGATGGGGAAGGAAAAAATAATAAGCTTATCTTTGACTTCTCTTATTCTCTCACACCCTACCTGTAGACTGGCTCTAACTTTGAAATATATTCAAAATCTGAGCACTTCCTCACCACGATCACTATTGCCACGTTTCTCAGCTGAATTAATACAACAGCCTCCTCCCTTCTATCCTTCTTCTTCCCCTGCACGTTTATTTTTCACACAAAGCCAGAGCAATTTTTAACATCATTCAGAACATGCCACTCTATGGTCAAACTCCAATGGCCTCCCATCTCATTCAGAGTAAAAGCTGACGTCTTAGAAAGTCAACATGACCTGACATCTACCACCCCTCGGCCAGATCTCTTACCATTGCCCCCACTGCACCCCATTTTCACTCTGCTTCTGAGACACCAACCTCCTTGTTGTTCCTTGAGCATGCCAAGAACATTCCTGTCCCAGGGCCTTTGCACCTGCTATTCCCTCTACCTGGTGTTCTCTTTGTTCAGATATTCCCATGCCTCACTCACTCCCTGTCTTCAGGCCTCTACTCAAATGTCATCAATGAGGCCTTCCCCTAACCACCCTATATGACATGGAAGTTAATAACACCTACTACTTCCTACTTCTTCTTAAATTTGCTTTATTTCCCTCCATAGCACTTACCACCATCTGACATTCCATATATTTACTTGGTACTTTTGTCACTAAAATGACAAATGCATGGAGGGATTTTGTCTGCTTTGTTTGACACTGATTCCCCAGCACCCTGAAGAGCACCCGGCACAGGCAGGCCCTCAATGTAAACTTGTTGAGTAATTGAATAAATGAATGAATGAATGACAGGCATCTTGTCACTTGTCACTGCCTCATGAACTCCACATCCCAGACAGACTCGGCTCCCGTCTTGCACCTCCTACCTTGCAGCTAATACCATCATCCCTCTGGGGCCAAAGGGTTGAAGGTATAGGGGTGTCTTAACTGGACTGGACTGCTCACGATCCTAGCTCTCTCTTCCTTGAAGACATGGCTAAACTCCCCTGCTCACTCCAAAGTTCAGTCACTCCTGCAGTTCTCCAGGAACAATGTACTGACCGAATATGTGCAGAACACTCTGCTAGATGTCAGGGAGGCTCAAAGAGGTATAAATCAAGGCCCCTATCTTCAGGGCATTATAATTTACTCATGGAGTGAAGACATTTACACTTGAAATATAAGAATAAGTATGAAATTAGTAGGTGTTAATATAAAACATGTTGAGAAATATGGAACCTTGGAGAGGTTGGACTTGAGAAGGGCCTTGAAGAATATGGGTAGAAGGTTGAGCGAGACAGTGGACAAGGGGATGCAAATTTAGGAAAGGGCAGAAAATGGTGGGAAATCAGGCAAAATGGGAAGGGAGGAAGAAGGAGGGGGGTCCTTCCAGGACAGACCAAGGAATCTGTATATTCACATGCAGAGGTCAAGAAGATGGAGTCACTGGAGTGAAACCAGGTCGGCACTGTGACCTTAGCAGAGCCACTGAAGGCTCTTAATGGAGGATCGCCCATAGCGATGGCCCAGAGTTCAGCCGAACGCACCTCATCCTGCAGATGAAGGACCTCCGTGAGCCCATGCACATCCTCATGGACGACTGCTGCCCTTCCTTCTTGACTGTCCCAGTCTTCAGGTCCAAGATCCGGCCTAAGAGGGAGAGAAGGGTGTGTGCGTGAGCCTCCGCCTTAGATTGGGAGATAGGGAAGGAGGGTGGGGGACAGCACTCTCCAAATGCTGTGCAAATGATCTGGAATTCTCAAAATTCTTTGGCAGAAACTCGCCGAGCGATGAAATCCATACAAGTTGAAATGCCTTGTTTTCTTCAGAGCAATCTACACTTGCTGCCTCTGCTTCGTTGGCTTCCATCACTCCCAGTCCTACAACCCAGCTTCCTCCCCCCACCCACTCTCTACCACTCTTCCAAGGTCATCAACACCTTCTTTACTGCCAAATCCAAAACACGTTTTCCCTTTATTTTACCTGACTGCTTTGCTGAGCTGGACGTGACTACACCCGAATTCCTTCTCAAGCATCTTCCCTCCCCTTGGTTTCCAACACGGCACTCGATTCTTGTCTCCTGCCTGCCCTCCCTCACCAGAAGCTCCTCCTCAGCCATCTCCCCTTCTCACTCCATATGTCCTCCATGCGGTTTTACCCACTCCAAGGTTTAGTGTTCTGGAAGCTAATGACGCTCCATCTACACCTGTAACACCAACCCCTCCATCTCCTGAGCCCCAGACCCACATCACCAGCAGCTGAATACACCTCAAAGGCAGCTTCACCCAACCCTCCCCAAACACCCCAGACATCAGCAAGAGTATTGCCATCAACACGGGAGTGTAAATCAGAGACCTGGACGTTCACCGTCTGCACACACGGTCTCCGGCCCTCCAGTTCCTCTGCATCCCCCCGCCTCCCCCTACCTCAGAGGAGCAGGTGCTGAGTCTCAGTGTGTTCTCCACATCCCCAGGGGGCTTGGCTCTTCACCTGACCTCTTCCCCCCCCAATTATTTCTAGCTTCTCCCATCCCTACCATCTACTTCCTCCAGTATTTCAACACCACCAAATCTCTTTCATCTTAGGGAGGGAAAAACAAACAGAAGACTTTCT